GAGACTGGGAATTCTAGTCCTGCCTTAGGCATGAAAGCCAGCTGGGTGACTGGGCCAATCGCCAGGAGACGGTGAGTTCTAGTCCCGCCTTAGGTATGAAAGCCAGCTGGGTGACTTTGGGCCAATCACCAGCAGATGGTGAGTTCTAGTCCCGCCTTAGGCATGAAAGCCAGCTGGGTGACTTTGGGCCAATCACCAGCAGATGGTGAGTTCTAGTCCCGCCTTAGGCATGAAAGCCAGCTGGGTGACTTTGGGCCAATCACCAGGAGACTGGGAGTTCTAGTCCAGCCCTAGGCATGAAAGCCAGCTGGCATTCTTTTTCAGCCCAACCCACCTCACAGGGCTGTTGTGAGGAAAACAGGAGAAGGAAGGCATATTAGGTACTTCCACTGCCTTGGAAGTTATTCCTCAAAATAACCAAAGCAATATTTAAAAAAAAAATTTTAAAAAATTAAATCCTGTTGGGACTTGACGCCCTTTGCCTTAAAAAGCTGCTGGTCGGGCGAGACTCGAGGGCCGAGTGCGAGATTCTTCTGAAAAAAAAAAAAGCCCATTTTTTTTTCAACTTCTCAGGCCAAGCCTGTTGACCACCGGCCATATATTTTTTTCTCTCCCTTTCTTTAAACTGCAGCCGCCACGGACTACACCCAAGAGAAGTCCGTCTTCTGCCGCATCAGGTGAGTCGGGTCTCCCGGCAGGATTTGAACTCGGCCCTAGGGCCGAAAAATCCCCTTCTTCTCCCCCCCCGCCCCAAATCATCTTTCAGATCCAAAGGGCCGGCCTTTAAAAGAGCCTCCTTAAGGTCTGGCCAACGGGAGGGGGAGAATAAAAGAGTCGGGAAGATATTCCCAGAATCCCCCTGGGGAGGATGAGAGGGAGGGAAAGATGGTTTAAGAAGCTGGACCCTCCCCTCTCTTGCTCGTCCTGGTCCCTTTTGGCCTTTGGTCTTACTGCAGTCGTTTGTTTCTCAGCGGTGGCCACGCCGGAGCGCGCGAGATGCGCTACTCCCCCTTCCGGCTGACCCCTTACCTGACCAAGGTGCGAGATTCGGACAGCGACCAGGGGCAGCCCTGCTGCTTACTCATTGCAGAGCGCATCCACTCGGGCTACGAAGGTGAGGGTCTGGAGGGGGGGGTCTGGGGAGTGGGGGGCAGCAAGTTGGGGAGGGGGGCGCAGGGGAGCCGCGCCCGCCGCTTGGGCTTCCTGGCAGGGGTGGCGTGAAGAGGTCCCGTCCCCAGGGAGATGGCGCGCCCGGCTTTCTCTCGCCTTTCCGGGGAATCCCGTTTTACTAGTTGGAAGCCAGCCCCTCCCGGATCGGCCGGGTGGATCTGGGTGGGTCTCAAGAGACTCTGCCCAGTTTTGAAAGTCTTTTTTTTTTTTTTTAAAGTTGGCTGGTTTTCAAATTTGTTTAATTTGGCTCGTTTGAAACTTTTACGAACGGCTTTCCTGTTGGTCTTTTCTCCTTTTGCCATCTGCAAGCCACCCAGAGTGGCTTTATCCAGGAGTTGGGTGGCACAGAGAAGGAAGAAAGGAAGGAAGGAAGGAAGGAAGGAAGGAAGGAAGGAAGGAAGGAAGGAAGGAAGGAATGAGACTTTGGTGATCCTTGATGCTCTCTCAGCTTGGTCAATTTCCTGCAGACGTTACATTGCCCAACTAGGGAACATCATCAGTGCTAGAAGAAAGGAAGGAAGGAAGGAAGGAAGGAAGGAAGGAAGGAAGGAAGGAAGGAAGGAAGGATGGGAGAGGGAGGGAGGGAGGAAGGAAAAACAGGATGATAATCAGTGGGGATGGAAGAAGGAAGGTGAAGGGGAGAATGGGAGGGAAGACGAGATGAAGGAAGAGGGAATGCGCTAAGGAAGGAGAGAGAGGGAAGGAAAGAAGGAAGGTGAAGGGGAGAATGGGAGGGGAGGAAAAGAAGGAAGGAGGGAGGGAAGGAAGAGAAGGAAGGTGAAGGAGAATGGGTGGGAGGAAAAGGAAGGAAGGAAAAGGGAGGGATGGAGTGAAAAAAGGGAGGGAGAGAAGGAAAGGAAGGAAGGTGAAGGAGAATGGGGGGGAGGAAAAGAGGGAAGGAAGGAAGGAAGGAGGGATGGAAGGAAGGAAGAGAAGGAAGGTAAAGGAGT